CCGGGGTGAGAGGCTCTCAGGCCGCCCCTGCCGAGTGCCACTCAGGCATCTGCCCCAATTCTAACTGGTTAGGGGAGGCTGAGGCAGGTTCCCAGGGCACTTTGTAAATTGGGAAACTGAGGCCCTGGGTGGGTGGCCTCTACAACCCGCTGTGGGCCTGGCCCTGCCCTCTGCAAGGTGTCCTCCCCCCAGCCCACAAGAGCCACTTCCTCAATATGCCTCCCTCAAAACCCTCCCCTCTCAATGAAAGGCATCTCTCTCCGTTCGGCCCCCTTCATAGAATCACAGCTTTGCTGGCAGCCACCTCCCCTCCTCCTTCCCTCCCCCCATCTAACCAACCCAGACTGAAGGCTCCCAGAAGGCACCCCAGTCTCCTCCCTCCCACTAAGTCCCGGGGTCTAGGTGATCAATAAATATTGATCGTAGTAGGTAATTAACTGAGAGCCTGGGAGTGGTAGGGAGTGGCGATGGAGCTGAATGAATGGGCCCAGGCGATTGTTGCTGGCCACCTTAGGCACTCAATCCCTCCAGGGCTCCATTCTGCCCCCTGGACCACCCAGAGACAGTGCAGCAGCAGGCTGCTTACCCACAAGGTCTCCAAACTCACCAGTGGCTCCTGGGAAGGAAGATGAGAGGCAGCCTGCTCCCTACAGACTGGGATGCCCTATGCTGGGGTCCAACTTTGTCCTCTAGGGGCAGCGGCTCCCCCAATGGGCTCTACCATAGAACAGCTTGCGTAGGGCCAGGCAGTGTTGCATTCTGTTATGCATAAGGTCGTTGTTATGGGTCAGAACTGACTCCATAGCGCCTAACAACCACGTGAATCAGAACCAACTCGATGGCAGTGGATTTGGTTTAGGATCATCTGGGCCCCATTGACCTGCCCTAAACCACCACCCTTCCCTGAGCCTGCCCTGCCCTCCAGCCAGACTCAGAATCCACCTTGTTCCCTAAATCCTGCCCCATCTACCCTCATGACCTTGTTCTTGGCTTTGACCCCTCCCACCCACAATCCACCCGATCCTCAGGGAACTTAACCTGGGCCTTACACACCTGGAAAATGCTGGTGATTCTTGTAAACGCCCCAGGAGACAAGGGAGGGGTGAAGGGGATTGGTCTGCAACCTGGCGGGAAATGCCTGCCATTTCCCTCCATCCACAGACAATGCCAAGTGGCTGTCTTTGGTGTAAGTGAAGTGGCCAGTGAGGTCTGCTTGCTGGCAAACGTCTCGGAGGCTCCCCGAGATTCAGAGTCTGGAGACTTGAGTGGCCTGGAATTTGGGGGTTGTTTGCTCAGCTTCAAGAGAAGTTGGCTGCACAGCCAGAAGCTGGGGGGCTCATCCTCTCTTAGGTGCTCCCATTTCCCAAAGTTGGGGCTCAGAAGCCACTGAATTAGGATGCTGGGACGAGGCCCAGGCACCTGTGTTCCTGATATACACAACCCTCCACGCTTCCTCCAGGCCTCTCACCCCCAGGTATTACAGGAAGGTCCCATTGCCTCCATTTTCAGACCAGGAATTAGAGGGTCAGGCACAGTTCAAGGGTTTCCATCTCTGCTTGTTGCTCCCACCCCAGTCCAGATGCACACCTTAGCAGGAGCATGCTTATCTTCAGCAGGCAGCCAGGGAGCCTGGGGAGAGACTGCATCCTGGGCTGCTTGGCTCAAGTTGGGGAGAATTCCCAGTGGGAAAGAGGTATTCTATAATGGCTGTGCCCTGCCCAGAGAGGGTTCACTCCCAGGGAAGGAATTCATTTCTTAGGCTTTTTTTTTCTTTTTGAGAGACAGAGAGACCAAGAGACTGACCCAGGCTGCAGGGCAGGGCAAGGAAAGGGTGTGGCAAGAGGGGCAATGAGAAGCCACCTTCACCTGCCCTGTCAGTTTTACTGCTGGCCCTGGTTGATGGGAAAATTCCTCAGGGTTGCAGGCCAGAATAGCCCACTGGCCAACTTCCCTGACTGCCTGCTGGGAGGCCAAACAGACCAGTGTGACTTCTTGGAGTAGGTGAGCCAGGGGTTTTGCTGGCCCCAAGTGGTGCCATGAGGCCACCTTCTCTCACTCTGTGCCAGTGGGTAGCAGGCAGGTCACAGGGGTGTGTGTGTCTGCTTTGTGTCCAGTCCCTGGGCAAGGCCCTGTCAGTGATCTGCAGGGGCTAGATCTTCAGAGCTGGTTAATGATTCAGACTCAGAGCCCTACTCCAACCTTCAGCATAGTTGACATCCAAGACAAGCTCTTGGGAGTCTGAGGCTGGGTCAGGTGAGCTGAGAACCAATCTCTGCCTACCCCACCTGCAACCAACACAACCAGGGTGCTTCCAAGGGAGCTCCAGGCCCCACTTCCCACCCTAATCTTTGTCCAGGACCCGGCCTCCTTCCTTAATAAACACCGGTGCTCAGGAGGATGTGTTTGCTATGCCAAGGAACTGTCAAGATACATCCCCTGGTCCACTCTTCAACCAGAGTGGAGTCCTTCCCCCTGGGTCTCCTCACAGGGAGCCAAGGTCTCATGGTACAGGATAAGCGATCGAGGCTCAGAGAAGTGAGGTGACTTGTTCAAGGCCACACAGTGCGTGGTTGAGACTGGGACTGGGCACTGAGAACCCAGCCAGGTCTTGCTTTGGGTTGAAGCCAAATCTCCAAATCCAATCACCCCCTGAAGCCATAGGCACAGAGGAAGGGGGGAACAACAGTACCTGGCAGGGGGCCACCAGGCTGGGAATGAATGGGGGGAACAGCACACACAGGAATGCATCACAGGGCAGCTGGCCTCTGGCCCGAGCGGGCACTGCCCTAATAGGAAATCTCTTGTAGGTTTCCGGCTGGGCATCTCTTAGCAAAGCCCTCGTGTATTTTTAGCTGCAGAATAAGCTGTCAGACTGCTTAGGAATCTGGGGACTCCTCTCTCTATCCCTCACCTGGGTAAAAGGCGGGTTGCCCCTGGGCTCTGCCAGCGGTACCCCCACCTGCCACTGACCTATAATGCTTCTGGTCTGGGCAGGACAGTAGGGCCAGGGCCAGTCCCCCCTCCCCAGCTACTACCCCCTCCTGTTCCTGAGCTGGTGCTGACTGCCCCTGTCCCACTGGTGACCCCCCACTGGCCCCTCAGTCCCAATCTAGCCTGCTTCTGACTTGCTGCTGAATCATTCTCTCTCCTGGAGCTTCGGGGACAAGGGGAGGGGCAGGAGGACCAGTGCTTCCCTCTAGCCTTGCCAGGAACTAATGTCATTGAAAAACCTCTCGAGAGGGGAGGCGCCAGTCCTGGCTCCCATCAGGCCATGCAGCTTCTCTGCAACTGGTCCTGAGGTGACAAGGACCATGGTGACCAGCCATCCTTGAGTCCCTGGGATGCAGGTCTGCCAGGAATCCAACCAGGAACATTCCAGTACATAGCCGGTGGGATGCCCTGCGGTCCTTAGGTCTGGACTGGCAGAAGAACAGGGGCTCAGTCTTTTTTCTTGGGGCCCAGCCTGGCATCCCTCCTCCAGCAAAACAGGGACGCCCTGCCCACATGATTCAAGGAATAGATCATCTCTTGGCTCTTCCTCATAGGATGATGCAGTCTGCTCCAGGTGAGGGAAGAAGGTTCTGGAAGCAAGCCGTCTCCAGTTCAGATCTGTGCTGCTCACTATCACAAATCCCTGTGCTACCTGGGCAGTGACCTTGGCTAGCCCCCTCACCTCTGAGCCTCAAGTTCCCCACCAGTAGAATGAGGATGACATGTAGTCACTACCTTCCAGGGTCTGCAGAGGGTACAACAAGCAGCTTAGGGAAAAGTTGGTCCTTGCTAGTACTCAGCTCTGCACCCCTACCTCAATCGGACCCCCACCTCACTTGTTGCCTAGGCAGTAAAAGTCTCCATGTGGAGCCTGCAGAGCAACCTGCAACACACGGAAGGGACCCCAAGAAAAGAGGTTCTCGCCCTATCGCCACAGTCGGGGCTTTAAGACGCCAAAACCCTGGCTGGGTGGGTGCTGTCCAGTGCCAAGCACCTTACCAGGGCTGTTCCTTTGCACAGACAGCTGGAGTTCGAGTTGCCCACACTGACCCACCAGAACGGGCGCACCTGCTCAGACTCACTTAATGGGAGGCGTTCAACCTGCCAAGGAGGAGCCCACTGGCATAGCCCCCAGCCTGTGCTATTCTGTTGTCTTTCTCTTGGTGAGATGAGTCACCGGACATTCTCATGGAGGGGCTGATGCCCGGGACAGCTAGGAGGGAGGAGGCTCTTGGGAGCATCCCTGAGTGCTGGTCACCTGCTGGCCCCTAGGACTCCTGCCTTCTGCCTCCCCTGAGCACTCTAGGCAGTTGGCCCTCAGTGCTCTGCAGGGAAGGAGCCTGGTGGCACTGTGGTTAAGGTGCTCATGGAAAAGCTGTCAGCTCAAACCCACCAGCCGCCCCATGAGAGAAAGGTGAGGCGGATGGACAGTCTTGGAACCCACACTGCCCTCCCTCGAGAGTGGCTGGGAGTCGGCATCCACCTGACAGTGGTAAATCTTGGGCAGGACAGGTGTCAAGCCATTTTCTGCAAGAGGAGACTGAAGGCCTAAGGGGGTGAGTGCTCTGGCCCAGGGGCAGAAAGCTCAATGGTCAGCCTGTGACCCCGGGGCTGCCCAGCAGGCATGCTGAGGCACCTCCAGGAATGGGCTGGGAGGAGGGGGACACAAGCAGC